CTGCGGCCATACAGTTCTCTTCGGAGTTCCCTTGAGATTGGCTTCAGGTGCATGAAGTTGCAGAAGCCTCCTCGAGTGCACTCTCTGCGGGAACACACAAGTACTGCAGTCAGTCACAGTGAAGCCAGTGGAACACAGTTTAAGAAAACAACACTATTTCAGTACACACCTTCACCTGAATCAACAAATCATGTACAATGGGACAGTTGCTCAGGCTTAGGCACCAGGTATCAGTAAACATCAATTTGAAGAGGGAAGAGAGGTAAACATACATCTGGGAATGCTGCATTAGAGTGTGCGGGAAGGGAAGATGTGCAGCACTCTCTGATGCTTGTTCAGTCACTTACCCCATTTCATACTGTCGACAACAGGCCTCTCTGAAATCGGTGACAGGTGAGAGCTCAGCATGGATGGGCTGGCCATTAAACCAGCGGTTATTCAAGTTAATCACCGCTTTCTCTGCATCTTCTTCACGGCGGAACTACACACAAAAAAAGCAAAGTTTTAGTTGTTTCTCTGCTGCACTAAGGGGTGTTTTTAAGCACAAAGATGCATTTAACCATGATAAAACAGCCTCAAGCTGATTACTGCTTTTATACAATGGTGGCAAAACTAAAAAGATTACAAAAACAAATTTCCACAAATTACTTTTAATAATAATAATATCATATGGGTATGAGTTGCCAAAAAAAAGTACCAAGTAACCCTAGCTATAACAAAATGGCACACACAACTGTTAAAATGTACAGATAGATTTAACTGTTGAATCACAAATTCTAAGTTTGGACCATTACAAATTCAACAAATGTCAAAGTTTTAAATAGTAAATTAAATTAACAAATTATTATTACAACGTAAATACACTGCAAATTCTCTCACCTTCACATAGACATTTCCCACCAAGTGATCTCCTAAATTATCACACACATTCATCTCCTCAACCTCTCCATATTTCTCCTCCATTTCAGCGAAGACCTCCTGTAAACAATGAATTTAAAGCCATATTGGAGCATAAAATCTGCAATTTGTGATTTTTAGCCTAAAAATACAACTGATGCAACAAACAGGGCCAAACTGTATCGCCTATATCTGTCCCATCATTCTGAAAGAATAGCTGTCATAAGACATGCACCACCATTCAAAAGTTTGGAGTTGGGAAGATATTTCAATGTTTTTGAAAGAAGTCTCTTAGGCTCACTAAGGACGCATTTATTTGCTCAAAAATACAGTAAATATTGTGAAATATTACTATTTAAATTTTAATATATTTTAAAATGTAATATATTCCTGTGATGCAAAGCTGAATTTTCAGCATCATTACTCCAGTCTTCAGCATCTACTCCAATCATCTTCACATGCTCCTTAAGGAATCATTCTAATATGCTGATTTGCTGCATAAGAAACTACATATATTTGTAGAAACCATGATACATTTTTACAGGACTTTTTGATGAACAGAAACTTAAAAAAAATAAATAAATAACAGCATTTATTTGAAATATAAATATTTTGTAGCAATTAAAGATGATTTAAATTTCCTAAAAAACAAAAAAACTGAGCCCAAACTTTTGAATGATAGGCACGAGGTTATATCCACAGCAGCCATTTTTCTTGAAAGAAACTTTACTCCTTACAACAGCAATATCTAGCCTATGAAATAATGTAGAAAAGAGCACTAGAAAATGATGATTCATAATAGAAATGTCCGTGGTTTGAACTTTGAACTCAAGCTTGGAAAAGACTATTTTGAAATTCCCTAATACTCCCATTGCTTCTCTGATTGTGTTTAACGGCTTGAATCAGTTACATTAAAGGGGTCATATGATGTTGCTAAAAAGAACATTATTTTGTGTATTTTGT